TGTGTACATATACACTTGCATGAATATACATTTGATTGGTAACATAATGTAGTGTGAAGAGCAAACTTCTTAAATCTGTCATGGGTTATAAAATGTATGGACAGCTTACCCAACTATAAAATTGGAATATATTCTGTAGACTCAAGTAATTGTGAACATCATGTGATAATATGCATAAACATTGTAAAGCATTTATAAACTCTGATTAATCTTATCTTTCCTTTGCTCATTAAAAACCAAATATATTAGCCTACTACCATTTATACTCTGTCAAGGTTTTGCTCATCAGGGCTTGTTCTAATTCCTTTTCTATTGCTGTGAAGAGACACTGGCCAAGGCCACTTACAGAAGAGTTTGTTAGGGCTCAAGTCTTACAGGGTGAGTTCATGGCCAACATTGTGGGGAGCATGGCTAGTTTGCAGATCTAGATTCAGTGTCTCAAGGAGAAAAAGACAGTTAATGTATTAGTTTGTATTCTGTTGCTGTGATAAACACCATGACCAAAAGCAACTTCCAGCTTACAGTCCATCACCGAGAGTAGCTGGGTCAGGAACCAGGTGGCAGCAATTGAAGCAGAGACCATCACTCAGCCTGCTTTCTTGTATATCCCCCAGGACCACTTACCTACAGGCCAGTCTGATGGAGGTATTTTCTCAAGCAAGATTTCCTCATCCCCCTCGACTCTAGTTTGTGTCATGGTGACAAGAAACTAACGAGTGTAGAGAACAGTCGAGGACGATACCAGATGTTGACCTCCGGCCTCCACACATGCATGGATGTGCATACCTGCTGTGGTGGTGTGAATAAGAATGCCCCAAAAGTTAATATATTTGATTGTTAGTCATCAGGGAGGACAGTATTTGTAAAGGATTAGGAGCTGTGGCCTTTTTGGAGGAGTGTGTCACTAGGAGTGGGCTTTGAGGTTTCAAAAACCCACACCAGGCACCAAGTGTCTTTCCTTCTCTCTTTTGGCCTACAGACCAGGATGTAGCTCTCAGCTATTGCTCCAGTGCCATGAGTGTAGCCACACTCCCTGCCCTGGTGATAATGGACTAAGCCTCTGAAACTGTAATAAGTCCCCAGTTAATGCTTTCTTCCATAAGAGTTGCCTTGGTCATGGTGCCTCTTCACAGCAATAGAACAGTGACTAAGACACCTCTCCCATCCTCCAATACATTGGAGAGTCAAACTATGTTTATGCCTAAACTATGAGGCAGGTCTTACTTAAATGTGCACTTTTAATATTTGTTGTCTATTTTTCCTTGAAAATTTTCTTTTTGGGAGTGTACCAACACTAGAGAAATGCATATAGATTTCATTCTGCTTGTTTTAAAGAGGTCTGGGAATACAACTTAATGGTAGATATGGGCTTATAAAAATATTTTAGAAAAACTGTTTTCAAATATAAAGCAAAGGTTAGGTAAGATTGCAATGCTGGAGAGAAAGAAAAGAAAAAGGATAAATAAGTCTTCTAATGACGTCAACCTTCTGCTTAGGAGACCTTTACTAAATAGTAACACAGAACAGGATAACTCAACAAAACATAGCCATCTTCCTCAACATTCTCTAGAAAAGACAACTGTTGTTTCCATTTTACAGGTTAAAGAAATTGACACCTAGTGAGGTTACCTATCCATAATATAGCGTAATACAGATTCAACTGATCTTAACTCTGTATTATAGCACATATAATTTTAATCTCTATCCCTTGTCAACATTAAGATAAAATTACATTTTATCGAGTATACCGGGGACTATGGGGGTCCAGCCCCTCGATAGTCCCCTCCCAGGGTCCGGGAAGAATCTACAACCAGCTGATAATTAATCTTTAATGGGAAGAAATGAATCTATGTACACGAAACTCCTTAGTTCATACACTTTATTATTCTGTGATAGTTCTCATATCTAGCTCCTTTCTTGCCTGATTTCTCTATATTTATCTACTGTTCCCTCTAGGTTCTATCTTAATTCCTTCATCTACTTCTGTCCCTTCTAGGTTCTCATCTATCTAGTTCTTTCCCCTATCAGCTCCTCTCCTGTCTCCTTCTCTCTCACCTGGCTCTTCCTCATCTTCCATCTTGTTCCTCTAGTCCTCTCTTCTAGCCCTTCAATCTAGTTCTTCCCCATCTCAGTTCGTTCCTCTCAAGTTCTTACCCATCTAGTTCTTCCATTTTCTTCTCTCTTCTCCTTCATGCCCTGGAAGTCTCGGTATATAAAGGGAGGGTCCGAGCTAAATTGTGTAAAGCTATTACTTAATGTCCACCTCTCCTAGGTGGTGTCTCCTTGTGGAATTTACCATAAGTCAGGAGACTTGCATGTGGGCTGTTATCATTGTTAGTCCACCTGGGACTAACAACGGGCGCCCACCTGGGTGGTGTTTACTGTAGTCCTTGAAAGTGGCTAAGGGAGATAATCTGATTCCAGAGAAAGCCTTTCCTGAGGCTGTTCTCCAAATACCTGGAATGTGTATGTCCAGAGAGCGATCAGTCTACACTGTTAGCCCTTCTTAGGGAAAAGTCAATTGGGAAAACTGAAGGCACACATGATTTTCATAACAGAATACAGCTGATATATAACAAGCCAAGTAATACCAAAAACTCCTTGGGATTTGGCTTTCTCTGGAGGAATTCCCTGATCCCTCCAGGTAGTGACTTTGCCATAACCAGCTGAGTTCTTATGATATATTCCTGCGGCCCGTAGCACGAGTACCTCTTCTTTGCCAAGCAGTACAGAATGCTTTGCATATCATTAACCTTATTTAGGCCTTGTAACAGTTCTACTCAAACTTCTGGTCTCATTAATATTGCACTCTAACTCTCAGATTTAGGAAAAGACTTTAGTGAAAAATTGCTTTTGTGGTATTTTTGTTGTTCAAGAAACAAAAATAAAAATATTCTGATTTTTTAGGTAGCAGAAGAAATAAATCATTTAAATACCTCTATCCTTTTAAAAGTCAGTATTGAAAAAATCAAAAACATTGGCGGGAGGAAGCCCACCATATTTTGATCTATTTAATATTCTTCAGAAGAAGAGTATCATGAGATTTTAAATAGGGGTAAGATCATAAACATTTGAAAAGAAAACAACCCACTTTGAGAAAATTTCGAGATATTGTAAGATAATGTGTTGACAACAGTAAATCCTAAAGTTTACAAATGATTTTACTTTTAATCCACTTTGCTTATAATTGTGCTCTACGATTTCAAATTTGCTGTCTCAAGTTTGACATAGATGTCAAATAGCTGATGTGCTCAGTGTCTTTGTACATCATGTGTGACACAGTCGTTCAGGCATTTACTTGGTCAAAAGTTTTTATCAGTGATTACTAAATGGCAGATACTGCTCTAAGTGCTTGGGAGACAGCAGCAAACTAAAAGATCAAAATGATGGTGCTCATATTTTGACAGTCATGGTTCAAGCATGACAAGAAAACAACTAGGCTTTGGCTGTGGTTAGCATATGGGAGAACAGTTCAATACTTACTCTTTTAAATCACGATAAGGAAAACTACATAGAAAATACTCATTTTTTTTTACTTCCACTTAGAACATATTTGTTAAGAACTATAGAATTCTGAGAAACAGTCTCTCAAAAAACAGAGTTAAGGTAATATTAATAATTAAGAACATGATCATGTTTTACTGTTATAATAATTTAATGTTTTATAGTTTATATAATCTCAGTCTTCCTGCAAATATAGTAATTTAATACCTTGGATATTTTGAATACTGGTTTATCAAATTCCAATGTTATTTCTATAACAAAGTATATGTTTCTGTAAACTTTGTTAAAATCTTATCTTTGAGTATTGTGATAATTTACATTATAATTGCAAGTAAAATGTTTCAGCCTATTTTGTTATTCCTTGTTGATTAAATTATTCTTTTTTGAAAGTTTTGTTGTCTATATTGTCTAGGGAAAAATAAAGTTGTAATTTTTTTGTTTATGTATTTGCACATCTGCCTATCTAATCTCCTAATATCTTGGAAATAGCTAGGGTATATAATAGCTTCAGTATGTGGTATGATGGAAATTTTCAGTGCTATATAAGTTGTTATAGCAAAGTATTATTAACTCACATGTCCATACTTCAGTTTTTTATGAATTATTAAATTGAATCCATTGCTTAAGCTGCCAGACTAGAATTTTATTTTAATCAGGAAGCCTTGAATCTCTGCATTGTTTCTATATATGTGGATAAGTCAACCTCACTAACTGATTCCTCACTTGTATTAGAAAATGGTCCAAGAATGGAGTTGTGCAAGAGGAGTTCCGAGTGGTTAAGGAGAAAATGCCAAGAAAACAAGCGAATCTTGGGACCACAGTTTCTTTAAAAATACAAAATTCTCAGAATGTGTTTTCATGTCCTTCCCAGGTGTGGTGGGCAGGAGTGAGTTTACTTCAGGTTATTCATCACAACTGGCTGTTGTTATTTGTCTATACGCCTCTATGGAAAAACATAGCTTTTGCCACATGCAGTGATTTTACACTTGTGTGACTCTTCTTAAAGTATAAATTGATGCTCTGAATAAAGTTGGCTATTGCATGAGACTCTAGTTTGCAAGTTAAATAGTGGTAAGATGGAGGGATGAGAAGTTGAAATGAATTCACTCGTACTGAGAACTTGCTTTTCTTTTAGATAATGAACACATTAACCTGAAGTACATAGCTGAATTGGTTTTGGTTAATTATTCAAAGACATAATCTTTGAATCCCTCTATAAGACTTATTATACAACAATTCAAGAAAGAGAAGTTGTGATGGAATTAGACTTCTAGGCTTGGAGTGAACTATTTGCCATTAGGTAAAACCCTAATGTGTGTGGTTGACTTAATGTACAAATTTCAAGCGTTCACTTTTTACCGGGTCCTGGGTAGCTAAACTGTCTTTCAGCCTCCTGGCCAAATAATACCATGGGGTTTTCTGGGACTCCATAAATGTCAATTTATGTTGTTTTCTGTATCTTAAACAACTTAGTGCATTTCTTACTCTTTCCACAGCATGTAGAGCCACGAAGCACAGGACAGGGAAGCTTCCTCCTTGCATCACCAGGAAGATCCTTTTGTAAGAGGCACCACAGGATACCAGAGAGACTGATTTGTCTAAAGCATCATGTGTTGAAACAACAGAAAACCTATGTTCCTGTGTGGCTAACTAGGACCAGAGTACAATGTTTCCAATTCTTTGAGCTCCAGGAAGACAGAGAACGGAGTTGAAACTCTGAAAATGCGGCCATGGACTGGTTCCTGGCGTTGGATTATGCTCATTCTTTTTGCCTGGGGGACCTTGTTGTTTTATATAGGTGGTCATTTGGTTCGAGATAATGATCACCCTGATCACTCTAGCAGAGAACTCTCCAAGATTCTTGCAAAGCTGGAACGCTTAAAACAACAAAATGAAGACTTGAGGAGGATGGCTGAGTCTCTCCGGTAGGTTTGAAATACTGAAGGATTTGATGAAATACTGTGCTTGGCTTTTAGGTATGGGGCCTCATTCTGCTGTTGAAAAATACAATTTCTGCAAACTGTCTTTGCAAAATTTTAAACTATTTTAGCAGGCATTTAAAAAGTGTCAGTGATATATCTATATAGTCAATGTAGGTAAAGTTTACATAGTTGCAAATCATTTTTCATATGAATCAGTATATAAAAACTGTGGTATTAATTTGCTTATGTTTTATTTACAATTATGTTTAGACTGTTGAACACAAACTTTATGTGATTTGTGTTAGTGCACATTAAATTTTTTTACCCTATGGACTACAACAGAGACTTATTTTTTTGAAAGGCTTAGTTACTCTTAGTTAAATTCTTCCGATGAATAGCAAAAATTCATTGTTAAGTAGAACAGTGCATCTGGAACATGGGTAATTATTATCATTACTTCTAGTCTACTAAAAATTGTGACATAGCTGTTCAAAGACATCAGTTGTTTGGAAAGCCGAAGTCTGGTTTCAGTGGAAAACATCAGCAGTGATATCTATTTATAGATACCTTTACCTCACAGTTACCGAGTTTATAAGTTGTCTGACAACTTCACATCTGAGAATAAGCATGTGTACAGAGCTTTCTGCAGGGCTAGAAATGAAGATAGGAAAACTTTTACATTAGGGGTGGTAATTGGCAGTACTAGCAAGTAGTGTTGAGATAGAGCTGAATTATGCATTACTTTTTAGAAACATGATTCATGAATGGAAAGGAGCATTAGAGAGGACCTAGTTCTCTCACGCCACCATTTGCATCCGTTTCATTTCCCACTGCTTTCAGAGCTCAGATGTCTCACATAGTATACTCTGTAACTCATCATCAGTTTTTTTTTTGTTTTTTTTTTAATATACTATGGTAGATAATGTTGGATGTTAACATTTTTACAAAAACAAATGCAGGCATACCTTTGATGTGAGTTGTGACAGTGGTAATTGTTGTCACAGTAGGATTATTCAGCAAGGAACTAAGTGGTCAGGGACAAGAAAGTGGACGATAATTTCCTGAATTGAATCATCTTATTGGAGGTTTGTCAGGGAGGGTTATGGAAGTTGTGATCTTTGAATTGAAGTTTATATGTGATTCATTATTCTTGATTTAGCCATTGCTAATAATAACTATCATTTATTGGGAATTTGTCATATGCCAGGTACTGTGCCAAAGACAGATTATTTTATCTAATTTCAAGATATCTTTATGAGATTCTAGTAGTGTGTTCAATCATTTTACAGATGAAGAATCATAAGGGATGTTAAGTAATTGAATTTGCCCAAGATTACACTTTAACAAATGGTGGAGCCTTCTTTGGATTCCGGCAGTATAGCTACACGGCCTGAACTCTTATCTTCCTAAGCTGAAAACAGAAAAAGCACTGACCCAGAAAAATCTTAATTAAAAGTCTCAGTAGAGACTTCTCTTCCAGAGAAGATTTTTTTCTTTATAATTTAGGCTCCTGAATAATCACTGAATTTTCTGCATGTTCCATCTTTAGTACTGATATTTCTGTTTCCTTTTTTCTTACTACAAAGTATCTTGTTTTTGCTGTATGAAGGAAAACGTGTTATTAATATGAGTTGTTCTTAAGAAAAATAATCATAGTATCTTTTAATATTAATTTTTATTATTTGAAAATTATGTATATATGTGTCTTTCTGCATATAGATTTGTGCTCACGAGTACCATGGGGTGCAGAAGGGCATCAGATCCCCTCGAGCTGGAGGTGCAGGCACTTGTGAGACATTTGATGTCTTTGCTGGGAACTGAACTCAAAGGCAAGATCAGAACCTGTTCTAAAGTCTAAGCCATCTCTCCAACCCCTCATAGGGTCTCTTAAGCCACTTTTTTATATTTTTGTACATTGAAATGAAATTCCTAACAACTGCATTCAAATGTAGAAATAGCTTTTAAGAGCTGACATACTTAATAAATGTAAATACAATCTAGAAACAGATTATACAGATGAGCATATTTTTATAAATAAGCATATAAATGTAGAAAAATAAATGCATGGCTATTTTCCCTCATTAGGGAAGTAAGTTTCCCCAGGCTCTTCTGTAGACCTTACTGGTAAGGCTGTTTGTACACAATCCATGGGGATTTTATTGTAAAGCTAGGACATGAGCCATGGAGGTGCTTGATTAGCATTCAGACTTTTTTCCTTATTATAATTCAGCTAGTATTTTGTGCTCAGTTTGATGTCTATTTTTTTATAGTAAGACATATATTCATAAGCCAGAAGATAGCGTATTAATTTAGGTAAATGTAATAGTGGGTAATTTCTTTGAGATAAAGGCTTATAAATTGGAGTTGGAAAACAAATCAAAAGCCTGAAATGACAGTTTTTAAGATTCAGGACAATAATTTTAAAAGCAGTTACCTAACTTTCCAACTACAATTTGCAGTTTTTTGATACTATGATAAATTTAGGAGAAAATTTAAAAAACATCTTTTTGAGGGATAGAAAGGTACAAGCACATTGTATTGGAATGGCGGTGTCGGGGATATGTGTATGTGTACAATTGTCTGACTCATTGATGAATAATTTCCTTACCGTAAAATGTATTACTTTCAGTGGTCTGTGGGTTTTGGCAAGTGGTCACAATTATACAATCATCACCATCAAGCTATATCAGAACTCTACTTCTCCCCAGAGTTCTTTTGCTTCTTTTAGTTAAGTTTTGTCCCTGCCTCCCAACTGTGACTCCTGTTTATTTGTTGGCTGTCCAATATGTTTGCTTTTCTAGATAAAGTCATGCAGTATGTAAGCCTTTTGGGTCTGGCATCTTCCATTTGGCATAATATATTTGAATTCATCAATATTTTGTGTATATTAGTTTTTATGCTTTTTTATTTCCAAGTAAATGTTTTTATTCCTTTATAGTGATGAGTTGTTACATGTCTCACAGTTTGGGGTTTTATTTTTTGAAAAAAAAATGTTTTCTATCTATTGAAGGTCATTGGATAGTTACTATTTTTTAACAACTGCAAACAGTGGCAGTATTAATCTTTGCCCTGTAAGTTTCTATGTATGTGAACATAGGGTTTTTTTTCCTCTTGGTTAAATAATTGGCATGGGAATTGCTGGGCCATATATTAAGTGCATATTTAACTTCAAAAGAAGCTTTTGGGCGGTGGGGCTGGGGAGATGGTTCACTTGGAAAAGTTATTGCCTCCCAGGCATGTGGGCTTGAGTTTAGGTCCCCAGGTAAAAGGTGAGCACAGCAGTATGTACCCAGCACTGTGATGGGGTGAGGATGGGGCATAAAGACAGGTGGATCCCTGGAGCTTGTTGGCCCCCCAGCCTAGTTGAATTTATGAGCCCTAGGTTCAGTGAGAGACTGTTTAATGAGAGACTGTTTTGTACTTGGACTTTCTTTGGATCATCAGCCCCAAATAATGACAGAGAAACTTATTATTAATTATAAAAGCTTGGCCTTAGCTTAGGCTTATTCCTAACTAGCTCTTATAACTTAAATTAATCCATTTCATTAATCTGTGTTCTGCCATGTGGGTCTTGACCTCCCCCCATACTGTATCCCCTACTCCCTCAGTGTCTCTCTGGCTTAATCCCATGTGTCTCACATTCTTCCCAAATTCCTCTCTCTTTCTTCCCAGAAGTTCTGCCTATTATCTTCTGCTTAGCTATTGGCCATTTAGCTCTTTATTAAACCAATCAGGAGGCACCTTAGGCAGAGACATATCTTCACAGTGTACAAAAAGATTCTCCCTCAACACTGTTTGATTAAGGTTAGAGAGTGATAGAAGAAGGCATCTGATGTTGACCTCTGGTCTCTACAAACATGCACCTACCCATACTACCATCCCCCTGACTCATTAAACAACACTATTCTAATTCCTCTCATCCTTGTTAGTACTTGCTATTGGCAGTGATTTTTGTGTCATCCTTTAAAACTGGAATGTGGTTTCATCTCAAAGTTTCAGGGTCTACTTCTGTAATTAAAGAGTTGAACATTGTTTTCATGTATTTACTTGCCACTTACATTTTTTTTATTGTTGTTTGTTTGTTTTTTGGTAAAGTGTTATTTGAATCTATAACCAGTTTCTTTTTGGTGTATGTGTTAGGTGGTGAGGGTGGGGTTGGGGAGAAGGTATATGTGTGCATATAATGTTCGCTGTGTACAAGGCATGTGCCTGTGAAGACATGTAGACATGTGGTGTCCTGTTGTACCATTGTCTATCTTTTCCCTCTGGGACAGAGTCTCTCATTGACCAGGAAGCCCAGGGTAGTGTCCAGCAAGCCCAGGTGATCTTTCTGTCTCTACCACCCGGGTTATAGGCATAACTTTTCTTTTTCTTTTTCTTTTTTTTTTTTTTTTTTGGAGACAGGGTTTCTCTGTGTAGTTTTGGAGCCTGTCCTGGATCTTGCTCTGTAGATCAGGCTGGCCTTGAACTCACAGAGATCCACCTGACTCTGCCTCCCCAGTGCCGAGATTAAAGGCATGCACAACTACCACCTGGCCTATAAACATAATTATATATATGTATATTATATATAATACAGTATAATGCAATATAGTATAACGAAGAAATATCACAGCTTAAAACAACCATTTACTCTTGATTTTTTTTTCAAATTTAGCATGGTCTCAGGCTAGTTCTCTAGTAATGTATAAGGTTATGGCTGCAAACATCTATGACTCTTGGCTAGGCAATCCAAGATGATTTACATGTTTGGCCCAAAACTTGTTCCATTTTGTGTTTCTTCTTTATCCAGGTAGCACAAGTTTTAGATGTGGTAGTGTTAGAAGGTTCTCAGTTGTATTTTTTTTTATATTTTGTATGTTTTCACTGTCATATGTTTGCTTTCTGTTTTATTGATCTCTACTCTTAGTTTGATAATTTCTTTTGTACATTTCCTTTCTTTGGGATTTATTTTGCTGTTCTAAGCTTTCTTAGCAAGTTTATAACACTGATTTTAAAAGTAG